AGTAAATAGGATTATATCGTTGTGGTCGGCAGGTGCGCCGTTCTCTTTTGCACAAGCTTTCGGTTGGACGTCAAAAGACAGCGCACCTGCCGACCCTGGTTCCTTGTAAAGGGAAGTGGACCCATTCGCCGTCAACTACCCATTCGCAGGTGAGTCAGCATTCGTTGAGACGGGACCTAGCAATGACGGGCAAAAGGTGCAGTAAATAGGATTGCATCGTTGTGGTCGGCAGGTGCGCCGTTCTATTCTGCACAAACTTCCCCTTGCACGTCAGAAGACAACGCACCTGCCGACCCGGGTTCCTTACAAAGGGAAGTGGGTCCATTTGCCCTCAACTACCAGGTCGCAAGTGAGTCAGCATCCGTTGAGACAAGAGCAACCGATGACGACCGAAAGGTGCAGTACATAGGATTCTATCGTTGTGGGCGGCAGGTGCGCCGTTCTCTTTTGCACAACCTTTCGCCCATTTAACCTCAACTACGACGTCCGATGCAAACCTTTGATCTATGTGTGCGTTCCCTTGTCGATGTGTCGCATGTGTTAAGGTTATTGTGAGTCTCCGGACCCGATGAGTGAGTACTTATCTGTTCGTCTGGAGGTCACCTCCCTCTATCATTTTGTAGAGATGATTTAACACTGTGCAGGAAGTAATAACTGCTTATTTATTTTTGTCATGACGATCTCACAGAATGACAATCCTACGAAGTTTCTTTCGTAGTCGATGACCACAACGACGACGGTTAACATGTGATGCTGACGTAAGATCGGAGGAGCGGGACGTAGGTGTTCAAGGATACTCATTTTCGAGGTGCCACATTTGTCATGAATACGTCAGAGATGATGGATAGAAACGCACATTTAGGAAGTGCAGATGGACATAACATATCGAGCGACAAAGCAACCGCCCAACAGGCAACGAGCACAAGGGTARATCTTGGTGTCCTCCCCCCTGTCCCACGGGCGAAAGTATTGGAGGCAATGGCCGGAGGAGAGGCTTACATCGAGAAGTGGTATGCGGAGGGGCTATTGTTGTCCGCTCTCTTGAATGAATCGAAAGATGATGTACGGAAATTGGAGCATTAAGTCGTCGAAAAAACTAAACAACTTATGAAATGTACTTTAGAGATACAACGATTGAGAGAGGAGGAGAGCGCATCACACAAGAGAATAAAAATTATAGAGGCGCGCCTTGCGGATGTAACGTTTCGACTGAAGGAAGTCGAATCACATTACACGTCAGAGCCACGAAACAGGAGGGCCCACAAACGCCAACACAACACATGTATGGAGACAAGGGTCAAAGATGGAGACGATTCGTGGGATGTTCAACCTTGTGTGCATACACACAAGTGCGTTCTTGTGCAAGGTTGGGCCGAACATACAAGCCAAACACAAGTTTCGATTGACAAGGTTACGGGGGATGTACAAAATTTGCACAAGCTTTTGTACTTCACAGAGGATTGTCTGCGACATTGTTCGGAGACTATACATCATCATTACGAAAATGATATTGATCATCGTTCAGCGTTGAGTGGTCGACATGCGAGCATGGGAAACATTCGTTCTCTGTTGTCGAGCTGCATAGATATTATGGATTCCACTTCGTATTTTCGCAGTAGGATTGAGTGTGGGGATTTCAAGTTGCACGATAAGCCGGAGACTTCAACAAATCACGAATGCAGACAAAAAAAAAATACGAAAGGTCATGATAGAAACTCATATGTGTTGCATAGAGGAGTACATACGGATGTGGATACACGGTCCACATCCCCTGCGCACGCAATCTTCACATG